TCATTCATCTACTCATTTTTAACCACACATACTTCAATTAAATAATTTTTTTCATCACATCTATAACTTTTCCTTCTTTTTCAACCTCACATTCTCTATGGTCGCCACTTGATGTGAAAGATAAAATGTATTATTTGAAGAAAAATGGCTCCCAAACGGAGCCTAAAAGTTTAAGTTAAAATAATATATTTCATCAATTTTATTAAAATATACTAAAATCTGATCTATGCTCCATCAGATATGAACATAATACACTAGTCGATCGCATATCGAACTTGTTCAATTTGCAAATGAAAGTTTAATTATAATATCGTAAATAAAATTTTAACTTATGTATTTGCAGTCAAATGTTTGCATCGCAGTAGGAGAGTCCTTATCCAATGTCATAAATCATAATGTTGATCTAAAGCTCTTAGTCAATAAAGACGGAACTGCTAATACAAAATTCTAACAAATAAATTTTTTAAAAAATAAAAATAAAATATAAAATTGTAAAAAAAGTAAAATTCTAAAAAATAATAAATAAATAAATAAGTTAAAGCTCTTAATGATTATTTACATAAAAATCCTAAAAATATGTTTAGTAAATATAGGTAAAAATATTTTCAGTCCAAATTATTAATTTTTATTTTTATTTCTACATCTTAGACTCAATTTATTTTTTTTAGTTTATTTTTGTAGGGAAAAAATATTATAAGATTTTTACCAACTTAAAAATGTATATATCACTTGATATATATATAAAATAAAATTGTTCTATTTTTACCGAATAATAGAATTTCATGGAATAAATGTCATAAAATAACTTTTAAAAATTTATATATATCTTTTTATTTTCTTTTTTTGAGAAATAACTTTTTAAAATGATAAATCATATGTACTTTTTGCAATCTTCATACAGGATCTCAAAACGAAAATTAAAAATGAACTCAAAACTCAAAATTGAAATACAAATTAAAATTACATTACTATAAAATTTTGAGAACTATAAGATTGAAAACGAGGAACTAAATATTGGATACATGTAAGACATTTATGCATTTAATTGGTGAATTGGACTTTCAAGTTTATAAGCCAAAAGTGATTAATGGATTAAATGTTTTTGGGTCTATTAAGATTAGGTCTCAAATTCAAAGAGTTATAGGATTCAAATTCTAATGCGTTATAGTATTCAAATTCTAGCGGGTTTAGAATGGGGAACAATACATAACTACTACACTATCATCCCCCACCATCGGACCCCATCCCGCACACCCAATCGCTAGAAAAATTCTCAAAAATTAAAAATATATTCTAAGTATTACACCGACCCATGGATCCCACCGCCACCCTCTAGAAGATTTTAGAAATTGAAATCATTTTTTGGAGATTACGCTCAGTCCCATGGAAACCACCCCCACTCGACCACCCGTGCTAACTGTGATCAAATGTGTTTTCAATGTGACTAAATGTGACCAAATTTGTCTGTATGTGACCAAATCAATCTTAACTATGGTGGTATATAATCAAGTCGCAATCAGTCATAATTAACATGTAATTGGTCATAATCAATCACAATAAACACATATTTGGTCATATAGGATCACCGCAAACTAGCACAACAATCTACTATTGTCACCACCACCATCAGCTCTAATGCATTATCGCTACTACCTTTAACTTAAAACACAACCATAAGTACTACGTTCACCTCAACTCTATAACAATCACCACCACCATCTTCATCACTCCCAACCACCACTACCACCTTCAACAAATCCCAACCACCACTACCACCATCGGCATCACCACACCACCACAACCATGTAGATTGCATTGTTTACAACTACAAGCAAAGTCGCGCCATGGAGTAAAACCATTGTGATCAAATATGTGACTAACTATAACCAAATTTGTCTTTGGTGTGGCTATTTGTGATCAGGTCAATTAATTTGTGATTGTATGTAACCAAGTCACATACGGTCACAGATTAACCTGACTCTGGTCACTGACGTCATATTTAAGATAGACTTAGTCATATTCTGGTCACCACCACCACTCTGGCACCACCACCACTCCCAACACCGATAATAATCAAATGCGCACCACCTCCTTAAGTTCACATGCACCACCAGCAACAAAACCATTACTACCTACACCACCGCCAACAGAACCACCTACAATTTAGAAAATCACCAAATATCAAAAAAAAAGTTCACAAATCACCGATACTACCAACTCCAGTCGTAGCCTTCTTACTCTGCAGCGACGTTGGCTGCATAACCACCACCACCACCACCACCTTCTCACCACTAATAGAACCACCATCACCAACCATCGCCGACAAGGAGAAGATGATAATTGTCATGGGCTAACTTGGTATATATTGGCCCATTTACTTTTATCTAGTTGGACTTGTTTTATTGTGGGCTAGCCCAAAGCCCTTTATTGTTTTGGTCGATATAGGTTGTATTGAAACTTTATAAACGGGATATAGATGAATTGATCGTGATTACAAACTCGTCTCCTCCCCGTCTCCCGCATTTCTTTCTCCTTCTTCTATATTCTTTTTTCACCATTATGTTATTCATCTTCTTCTTCTCTTTTGCTGTCTTCTTCACTGGTTCTCTTGCTTCCTCTTTTTCTTCTTGGTTGTTCTTGTTCTCATCTTCACTGAATCTTCATTCTTCCCCTTCTTCACTAGTCTCTGCATTTTCCTTTTTCTTTTCTGTTTATATTTTGTTGTTTTGGTGTAGTTTCAACTCAATCAATACAATGGAAACTAGGTTATTGAATCCCAGTTTAGTATATTAAATTGTTGGTGTTGCTTTTGATTAAGTTTAGTTAGTTTTGGTTGAATTTGAGCTCCAACCATTACAAATGGTATCAGAGCAGATACGTGAATGAGGTATGGCAGAAACTAGAAGCAAATCAAATGAGGAGCACCTTAAGGGATTGGACAAGGAAATATCAGATTTGGGAGTGGTCTTTAAAACAAATGACCAGATGCTACAGGGTGTTTTACTAGACAAGACCGGATGGAACAAATGATGGGAGAAATGAAGGCTAGATAGGAGTCTATGGTGTTGATACTAGCTCAGTTAACTGAGAGTAAGGTTGATGGTAAAGAAAAACAAGTAGAAGGATATAGGTCACCATCTCAAACCAGTGAGGGTATCCTTAGAAAAAATGTAATTCATTTTGGTATCTCCACAGGAAATGGAGAGGCTAGGATGGTTACCAAACTACCCAAGATAGACTTTCCTTACTTTATTGGAGGAGGACCTAGAGAATGATTGAGGGAAGCCTAAAATATTTCCAGATACATCAAGTAGCAAATGAAATGAGGGTGGGAATAGCTGAGATGCATTTAAAGGGGGAAGCGTACATATGGTTTTATGGCTTCATCTTCAACCATCACAATGCTGATTGGGACATGTTTTTAAGTGAAGTTTGTAGATGATTTGCTGAAAACAATGCTGAGGAAGAAGATGTGGAAATGGAAACTAAGGAAAGTGGAGATCCGACTCTTAGAGTGGTATTTATCATGAAAATGAGATGGAAGTTATAATTACACCGAAGGTTGAAGGGGAAAGCAATGAGAATGTGGTTTTTTTCTAGGGAAGCTCTACTTGAACGACTACTAGAGTACAATGGAGATGAAATTATGAAGGTAAAAGCTGAAACAAAGGCTAATGCAACAGTAATTTGTGCTTATTCCCCTTTTATTATGGAGGTAAGGGAGGCTGAACTAGATTTGGCTATTTGCATCACTGAGGGAATCGGAATCCCTCAGCATGACATTGTTCTTGCCAAGGCTGCTCTCAACAAGCAGTTAAAAACTCAGCTCATAGGTCCAAATTGTCCTGGAATTATCAAGCTTGGGGAGTGTAAGATTGGAATTATGCCTGAATACATTCACAATCTAGGACATATTGGAATTATCTCACGATCTGGCACACTAACTTATGAAGCAATTTTTCAAACTACTATCGACAACCTTGGGCAGTCAACATGTGTCAAAATTGGCGGAGACACTTTCAATGGAACAAATTTTGTTTATTGCATAGAAAAGTTCCTTGTTGATCCTCAGACAAAAAGTGGTACCAAAAAGCCCATTGGTGCTTCCATTGAAAGTTGTAAGCATCACATATGGCAAGCTATAAAAGCATCATCTACATCGTCATATTATCTAGATGAGTACACTAGTGGTGTATATTGGTAGCAAGATAGGGCTATTGTAGCAAATAATGTTGAAAACGACACCGGGGTTGGAGAAGAAACTCACCAAAGTATGTAGCAACAAGATGAACAAAACACAAACAAAATAATATCAAAATTGAAGGCCCGAACGCGTGATCACTGTCCTCAAACTATATTTGTCCCCACTCCGAATAATTAAGATGCTTAAGGATTTCGGCAAATGGTTTGTAGGAGTTATCTCAAGCCTTGTTGCAGAATTATAATTAAAAGCACAAATATAATTCTACCCAACAAGAGAACACTAAAGAGATATTTGAATATGAAGAAGAATAATAACTTTAATTGCTTCGGAATAATAATGATCTTATGTTTTTCATTAACTTTCCATGAACAAAATCATATGTATATAGGCTACCAAAATACACCACGAAATGGTGCCAAAATCATGTTGAAAAGCTACCAATTTTAAACCTAAACGGTAAAAAATTCAAAGAAAAACGGCTTCCAACGGTAACATTCTTGCTCTATGCGACCGCAAGAGCAATTCTATGTGGTCGCATAGAGTTAACCTTCAGTCCTTGTATGAGGCCATGCGATCGCATGGTTCACCATGCGGTCGTATGGTTCAAATTCCCAGCCACTCCGCGTGGTTTAAGAATTCTCAACCACATGCTCCGTTATCATTCCACAATTGATTATTTAATTGTTGAACAAAATTACAACAATCCCCCACTTGTTCAAAATTAAATAAATCCTATATTCAAAATGTACGATACCCATGCATAAGGATTAGATATCTTTCGATTTGAATCTAACCATAGTGTAATTCAAGCAAGGTGAAGTCGGAATTAGAGGTAGCATGGAAGCTTTGAACCAATGATTCTATATGACAATACCAGTTAGAACACACACACGAGTATCACGTGTTCTCAAGTTTCTCAAACTTGCTTAGCGCTATTATGGCCTTGCGCTCATCATTTTTAACAAACTTTTAAGAGAGAAACTCAGACTCTCTATGAGGCAGCACCACCTGGAAGTTTATTTAGGTGAAATTCTTCCAATATCTTTGTTACTTTAAAAGATACTTGTACTTAATACTGAATTTCATTAAGAGTTTAAAACTCATCCCTCACTTCAGTAACAACCAGCATTATTATTACTATGATAAGGTTGTCGTCGATATCAATAATGTTGAAGCTATCCATATATCGAATGACTTGTTGTTACCTTTTGAACCAATAGATTACCTTTTGAGTAATGACATGTAAGGTTGCCATCATCGGTGGATCTTTTAGTTCAAGAGTTTCAACCTCATCCTACTCAAAATAGAATTTACTAGATCTTTATTTAGAGGTTTATTTAGAGGATCCTCCAAGTGCTCAATCGACTTTACATAATTTATGGAAATTATTCCACTTTTGATTAATTTCTTTATGTAATCGTATCTTAAACTCATATGTCTAGACTTTTCATTGTATACTTCATTGTATGCTTGTGCTAATATGGCTTGACTATCACACATGATAGATATAGAAGATGTTATCTTCAATCCCAAAGGTATCTTGTATAAAAGATCCTTAAGCCACTCAGCCTCCTTCCTGGTGTCCGATAGTGCAATGAATTCGAATTCCATAGTTGAATGTGTTGTACACGTTTGTTTCTTTGATTTCCAAGAAACAGCCCCACCTCCAAGAGTGAACACCCAACCCGAAGTAGATTTACTTTTACCCGTGCTAGATATCCAACTAGCATCCGTAAATCCTTCTAATACCGCCGAGAATTTAGAGTATTGAAGACCTAAGTTCTTGGTTTTTTTTAAGTATCCAAGAACTCTTCCAATGGCCTTCCAATGCTCATTACTTGGGTTACTAGTAAACCTACTAAGTTTACTAATGGAAAATGCTACGTCCAGTCTTGTGCATTGAACTGTACACATAAGACTCCCCTATCGCATTTGCATAATGCATACGCCAATTGAGCAATGGCTCTTCCATCATTCTTTACAAGTTTTGAACTTGGATCAATCGGGGTACTATATTCTTTTACGTTCAAGTGTTTGAACTTGTTAATCACATTCTCGATATAATGTGATTGACTAGGTAGTAACCCCCACTAGTCTTGGAGACTTTGATACCCAATATGGTATCCACTTATCCAAGATATTTCATTTTTAATGTGGAAGACATAAACCTCTTCGTTTCTTTAATCTCGTCCATGTGATTACTCATAATCAACATGTCGTCAACATATAAGCATATAATTGTTAAATAATCATCACACACTTTAGTATATAAGCATCTATCTACGCTATTGTGTTTGAAACCAAAAGAAATTATAGCTAAGTCAAATTTCTCAAGCCATTTCTTAGTTGCATGCTTTAAACCGTATAACAATTTCGCTAACTTGCATACCTTTTGCTCATTTCCAGGTAGAACAAACCCTTTGGATTGTTCCATATAGACCTCATCATCGCGATCTCCATTCAAGAATACTGTCTTGGCATCCATTTGATGAACATGCAAGTCATATATAGAAGCTAGCGCAAATAATAACATAATTGATGTTATTCTAACTACCGGTGCATAAGTATCAAAATAGTCAATTCCTTCCTTTTGTCGATAGCCTTTAGCTACTAATCGTGCCTTAAAGGTGTTAAGAGATCCATCAACATTATATTTTCTCCTAAACACCCACTTACATCAAATAGGTTTGGATCCGGGTGGCAAATTGACAAGCTCCCAAGTATTGTTTAACATTATCGAATCCATTTCGTCATTGATTGCATCTTTCCAAAAAATGCTATCACGAGAAGCCATAGCTTCTCTATAAGTCTTAGGGTCGGTATCCACACTGTAGAACAAAAGGAATTATTCTTACAAGATTACTCTCATTTCCCTCTACTAAGTAAAAGGAAGTGAGTTGAGAATCAATTTTATCTGATCCTAAAAACTTCTCAATCCGAGTTCTTTTGCTTTTTCGTGGTTCACTAGATTCATTAACATCTTTAGCAGATGTTTCATCTTGTGTTCCACTTGAGCTAGGGATATCATTATGAATTTCCCTCAATTCGTTATNCCCTCAATTCATTATCCGAAGATAACGAATCCTCAAAGAACTCCACATCATTTGATTCAATAATTACATTGGTCTCCAAATTTAATAACCTGTAAGATTTGCTATTGTTAGCATATCCTATAAATACACATTTAATACCTCTTGTACCCAACTTGGTCCTATTAGGGTTTGTGTTCTTGCAATATGCGAGGCACCCCCACACTTTGAAGTATCCAATGTTCAGTTTTCTTCCTTTCCACAATTCGTAAGGAAAAACCTTAGTATGTTTCGATGGAATCCTATTCAATATTCTACATGCACTTAATAGAGTTTCACCCCACAAATTAAATGACAATTTAGCATAAGTAAGCATAGCACTAATCATTTCAACTAAGGTTCTATTTTTCCTTTCATCCAAACCATTTTGTTCGGGTGTCCTAGATGCAGAACATTGATGAATAATGCCATATTGTTCACAATACATATTAAAATCACTTGAGAAATATTCTCCACCTCTATCACTTCTTAAGTTTTTAATTTTCTTTCCTAAGTGACTTTCAACATCACTTTTATAAATCTTAAAACACATTAAATGCTTCATATTTATGCTTCATAAGATAGACATAAGTATATCTAGTATAGTCATCGATGAAGGTACTAAAATACCTATTTCCACCTCTAGTTTGTATAACATTTAATTCACATACGTCACTATGAAATAATTCTAATATGCTAGGGTTCGTTTTACACTTTGATATGATCTTTTAGTCATTTTAGCTTCCACACAAGTCCTACACTTAAATTTATTATTTATATCATATGAAATTAGGTCACATTTCATCATTCTTTGCATGGTACTTTTACCTATATGACCTAATCTAGCATGCCACAATGAAAAAGAATCAACAATATAAGCAAAATCAACTTTATTATTCATAACTTTGTCAACGGTACATAACTTGACCATTCCTTCACTAGAATAGCTTTTACCAACAAATTTTCCATTAAGGGACAATACAAGTTTTTCGGATTCATAAACACATTTTATGCTCGATTTTCCTAAGAGATTACCACTAACTAAGTTCCTATTCATATCAGGAACATGAAGTACATTGGTTAAGGTAATGGTTTTCCCGGAAGTAAAGATGATATCAAATCCTTACCAATTACTCTTGATCGGACCTCATTGCCCACTCGGATCTCTTGGTTGTCATCCACTTTGAAGTATGTCTTGAATAAAGACTTATCATATGACACATGAACTGTTGCACATGTATCATACCACCACCCGGGAACCTTTCCCTTGACTGCGTTTATTTCGTTAATTGTGGCCACAATTTTGTCTTCTTGTTGGATGTAATTTACTTTACCCTCGGAGTTGTTTCTTTTCCGTTGTCTACATTCATTTGCATAATGTCCAGGTATTCCACACACAAAACACCCCCCTTTGGTCTTCTTCTTGGACTTGTTGAAGTTCCTTGAAGGCTTCCTTTTGTTGAAATTTGGAGGCGGTTTAGTTTTCTCCACTGCATTGGCCTTGGAAGTGCCTTCATAAGAATTTTCATTCTTATCACGCATTCTTGACTCTTCTTCAATGCGCAAGTGTTTCTGCAATTGTACCAAAGAATAATCTTCGGAACTATGCATAATTTTATTTCTGTATCATTTCCAAGTTCCGAGGAGTTTAACAATTATTACCCCTACTTGAAAAGTCTCCGAGATTTCAATCTTCACTGCCTTCAACTTCTTAACAAGCACTTGTAGTTCATGGATTTGTGGAAGTAATGGTATGTTTTCAAGAAATTTAAAAATCAAAGTACTTGGAGATTAAAAATTTCTTCGTACCTTCCTCTTCTGCTTTATACTTACTTTCTAGAACATCCCATTTCTCCTTCGCCGATGTTGTGTTGGTGTACAAATCATACAAATGATTAGACAATGCATTGAGGATGTGACTACGGCATATCAATTCATCTTCTTGATGCTTTTGTCGTTCCGCCTTTATTGCATCGCTTCTCCTTGTGTTGGTTCCAGTAATAGTGTCAATTCCGGATCAAGTATGTAGAAGATCTTCAACGTCGTTAGTAGAAACTTGATCTTGTCTTGCCACCGCGTAAAGTTGTTTCCATCGAAACGATCTAACCGGACCAAATCTT